ACACCTCGTGTCCCTCCCGGTGTCCGACACTTCGTGTCCCTCCCGGTGTCCGGCCGGACGTCCGGCCGGACACCTCGTGCCCCTCCCGGACGTCCGTCCCGCACTGTCCCGCCACTGTCCCGCCACTGTCCCGCCACTGTCCCGCCACTGTCCCGCCACTGTCCCGCCACTGTCCCGCCACTGTCCCGAAGTGCCACGAGCGGTTCAAAGCTAGATTCCTCCTAGTCCGTGCTGCATGGTTTTCAACTGCTTTTTCCTTGGCGGATTGAAGAACAGCCTGACAAACCTGACTGCATCTGATTTTTGCGCATTTTCTCTGAAGCCGTGGTGGTGAGAAGTGATTTCGAGCACTATTCCGTTGCTTCATCGAGAGCATCTGTGCAAGAGAAGGCTTGCTTGTACCTCAGGGAGCAAGACTAGGACGCATATCTCGATTGCTCGACTCGGTCCCAATTCCGAGCACCACAATGCACTGGTGGGGCATATTGTTGCTCTTTTCTCTCCGACTTTGTGGTGGGCACGAGGGTGGTGACTTCGCCATGGAGGTCACCGAAGTGGCTCCAGACAACATGAACTCGAACACAAACTATGCCACGAAGCATCATGGAGTATGGGCTCAAGGAGACTTCGGTCTCATCACATCCTCCAATAAACAGAAGATCCTCAAACGTTCTTTTAATCGTGCATGCAGAAGAGCGCTGTTGCAGGGCTCTACAACCTACAAAGGCAGAATCTTTACGGCATCTGATGTTCCGAGTGCATACCGCGGGCAACAAGCTGCCACGTCATCACCGGCCCAACCAGCGGATGCTAGATCACATGCTGCACCTTTTTCGTCAACTTTCTGTTTGACCCGTAAGCCTCGCCCTCCCAAACCAAGACTCAGATATTTGGTTTGGAACGCTGGCGGTTTGCCTTATGATGAGTTCATGATTTGGGCCTCGACCGCTGCCTACGATGTTCTCATCATTACCGAAACACGCATGAGTTTCAGTTCCGAATGGGAAGTGCCAGGCTGGAGTTGCGTACACACAGGTCACAAATTTGCAGGTGTGCTCATCATGGTGGCTCGTTCTTACTGCCCTCCGGACAGACTCTCATGGAGCGAAGTGCAGAAGGGGCGATTGATTCATGTGCGATTGCATTTAAGTACTACCATCAACATCATCGGAGTCTACCAACATGTTTGGGATACGGGTAAGTCAACTTGCATCTCACAACGTCAACAGGTCTGGGATGCCTTATCACAGGTCTTGCAACTTTGCCCGGCCAGAGCCATCACACTTTTGCTAGGTGATTTCAACACCGACTGCGAACCACTACGGGGTCATGTTGGACCAGCTCATGTACACCAGCGAATCCCAAGCTGTCAGCGTTTTGGAGACCGAGATAGGCTACACACATGTCTTCATGATTTCCAACTAGTGGCGCTAAACACATGGCATGGCTGGCAGCCGACCTATGAGTTCAGAGGCCAGCATTCCCATCAGAGTCGCATCGACTTCGTATGCACACGTACACCTCAAGCAGACATTGATGCTCGTCGTGTGCATCATGAACAAGACTTTCCGGTTGCGTGCTATCGGCAAGGCTCTCGGCATCTTCCTCTAGCTGGTTCGATACCGGCACGGTGGACTCCGTGGCAACCCCAGCCCTCAGAGCAAGTCTTCAGTGCTAAGCTGCGTCGAGAACTATGTGCGGCTTGTAGGGACAACACCCCTCAATGGAACGCGATGCACCAAGAGGTCGACGGCCGACTTCGTGATCTCTCCGAGCGCTCCATTGCGCAGGTTGAGGCGGTGATGAAGGAGTGTGTCTTTAAGCATTTTCCCTTGCGGCGGCAGGATCCAGTCACCAGGCCCTTTCAGCAACCGGACCTCGTGGGACAGACGAGGCAAATGTGGAAGCTGCGACACGCCCTTCAACAGCAACATGGATTCTCTTTGCAAGCAATCTTCCGAGGCTGGCACCTTCGGTCAGCTTTTCAAGTCATCAGTCGCAGACTCAGAGCTCGTTCTCAGGAGATACGCAAACAGCAACTGCACACCTTCCTGAGTGAGACTGCAGAGTGTGCGGTTAAGAAGGACATGCACAGCTGGTATCGTCAAATTGCTCTACTTTGTCCTAAACAGGCTCGTGCGAAGATTCATCTTCGTGGTGATCGTGGCCTTTCGCTTGGTCCTGAGGCCTCTCTTTGCTCTCTTCGGGACTATTACGGTCAGCTATATGCAGATAACAACTTTCGCATGTACGACCTGCCACGGCTAGAAGCACTACCGTTTAGTGTTGAAGCCCTGCACGCTGAGTTGCAGCGCCTACCTATTCACAAGGCCCTGACACCCACGGCCGTGCCGGCGGTGATGTGGAGGAGTCATGCTCGGCTTATTGCACCCATCTTACATCAAGAGGTTCAGGATCTTTGGTGTCGTGACAAATGTCGACTCCCGCGGCGATGGATTGCAGGACACCTTGCTCTTCTGGGCAAACCCTCGAAGCCACCGACCAAGCCCGCGCACCTTAGACCTATTTGTTTACAGCATCCTTGTAGCAAAACTCTCTCAGGTGCCGTGACCAGACAGGCGAGTGAGTTCATCACTCCGATCTTCAGTGAAGTGCCTTGCTATGCGTATCTGGCGCATCGCTCCACTAGTCAGTGCCTGATGCGTGTATATGAGCATTGCAGAGTTGTTCGTGAACTTTGCGTAAAAACACGTGAGCACAACCGCACACACAAAGTCAAAACAACATTAGCCGGTGGGGTGCAGGTGGCGTTGGACCTACAGAAAGCTTTTGACCTGGTTAGCCGACCATTCGTACTTCAATGTATTGATGATGCTCCGATGCCCCCTGACTTGGCCACGAGCCTGAAAAGCAGTGTCCTATCTGGAGAATACATCATTAAGCACAAAGGTGTTCGTGCAGTCTGGAGGCTCACAGAGGCATCAAACAGGGGGCGAAGGATGCTCCTCTGTTATGGAATCTGGTGGTTTTGGGAGTGCTTAAGCAGCTTGCCTCCAAGTTAGGGTGGCCATGGATTCGTGCACATCTCACTATCTATGCTGATGATTTTCACATATGTTGGGTGCACCAGTCTGGCAGTCATCCTGACCGCATTTTCCGTGAGCTAGGACAGGTGCTGGGTTGTCTTGAGGACATGCAGCTTAACATCAACTACGACAAATCAGTTGCTATGATGTCCTTCGCGGGCACTCGCTCTCAGCAATTTCAACAGCTCTACACTCGACGACTCAAAACGGGGCCTGTGCTGCGATGTCCCATGCCAGACGGCACCAAACGTGACCTTTCGATGGTAAGTAAAACGAGCTACCTGGGAGTGATCATTGGCTATCATCGCTTTGAACGTGACACCGTTGATCGCAGAGTGCAAGCGGCTCGCACTGCGTTCTCCAGGCTCAGACGGGTGCTGTGTGATCGCAGGAGCCATGCTCTTCAGGATAGACTGCGTCTTTATGATGTCTGTGTGTGGTCTACCTTAACATACGGCATCCTCGAGCTAGGAATCGATGAATACGCACTGCGCAAAGTACATCAGACGGCTGCTCATCATGTTCGCATCGTTGTCTGTCGAGCCTACCACCTGAGGCCAGTCACCACGGTTGAATTGTACACTCGATTGGGTAAGCCACTGCCCTGGATTGCACTCAGGGACATGCTGCTGCAACGACTTCGCAAAGCTCAGGCTGCAAAGGCACAGTTGCCCCCAGATGACCTTTATCACTCATGTGAATGGCCTCAAAGCATGCTCCTGCAGGACGCTAATCGAGCTGAGCAGATTTGCAAACTACGCCAAGATGGGGCCGCTTCTCAGGACGCGCGCTTCAAGTGTCCCACTTGTGCCAATAGTTTTCGCACTGAAGCCACACTGAAACGACATCAACGGGATGCTCATGGACAACATTGCGATACTCGTTCCATCTTTGATCCAACTCGGGACTCGCTTAAGGGCACCTCCACTTGTGCGCATTGCGGACTACACCTTCGCCATAAGACGAACCTCATGCAGCACATCAATGCGGGAGCCTGTCCGATGTTCAACCCAAATGCTGAAGCTACCCAGGTCCCCTTTGCCAAACGTGAGGCCACGCTTGAGCTTCTACATGATGGTGGGGCCCCTCGTCTTCTGCAGGACTCTCACAGCTTGCACCAGCTCAGATCACAGTGTGCGTTATGTGGCCAGATATGTACGCTGAAAGGGCTTCGCAAGCACTTTGGCTACAGCCATGCCGAGATGCTGTCCACGGCTTTGACTCTTTCTCAGCAATTGCATCGATCACACATCGCACCACATGGTCAAGGCACCTGCAAGTATTGCGGGGAGTTCGTCAAGCGCGACCACACGTGTGCAGTCGTCCTACATGCAGCTGCCGTGGAGGTGACC